CTGTCGACGAATTCTCAGCAACCTTATGAGTAGCGCATTACATATATACATGTGTTGCGATATCTCGAATATCGTAGCGACTGAAACATGAGGCGGCCTGGTGCAGCACATTCAATTGCCTAGAAACATCACAAACGAGAGATTCAGCTTGGTTCCAGGTGAGTCTCTCACAAAACCAAATTAGTTTGCAAATGCGTATGTTTTGCCAAGAAATGATGCATTTTTTAAAAAAATACTTCCAAGTTCGTTCTAGGAAGTAAGAACAACTCAGCTGGCAGTCACGCCACGTCACAACTGAGTTGTAATTTCGATCAGAACTCATGGGGAAAATGTCAGTATTCAGAAAACAAGACAGGTACCGCCATTCCAAGGTGTGAAGACCAAACAGCTGGGCTCAATGGAACGAAGCATGAACAAAATAACACGGGAGGCAAAGTGTGAATAAAACTCATCAGCAATCCAACCGGAGCTCGTGGTCGGCTGCATTTTAAGGAGCCGGGTTTTGTCATTGAGCAAGGGAGTGCAGAGCAGACGGAATTAGTGAAAAATGACTCTGTTCGATCGAATCCCCCGGGATAAAACTTGACAATAGCCCACCCATTTCACTGAATACAAATCAGACACATTCTGAGCAAAGGAAAACTTGTCCGGGAAGGGCGTCTCTGCACGGGCAAATTCTCGAGATACTTGTAGGAACCGGTTCGTAGGACGAACTGTCCCATTTGAGTGGATCCTGCTGGAATACACATACTTCACGTGCATGATCCCAATATGGAGCGTATTCACTTCGCGTATACTCGACCTTTGAGCAATTGGTGCCCAAATTGCGATTTATGAATTGGACTTTGTTGATCAGGGGGAAGTATTGGGGTGCGCAGTGCAAATGCGTTGTACCCTGGAGCTGCGCTTCAAGTCCGGCTGTCTCATATCTTTGTTTTAAATAATCAAAATGAAGCAGGAAATTCCAGTTGGTTGGTATGGCAACCGGTGCAGTGGAAAACTGCGATTGGCTCGCACGAGACTTGCAGACCTCAAAACACGATTGACCTGGAAGTCCAACAGCAGGTATTACTCTACCGTCTTCCGACGGTGAGGATTCTTCGTAGAGATGATCACTCACACGCCCTGGATGGACTCGATGGAACTGAGAAAACTGTGCACAAAATGATTGCGAAGTTAGAAGAACATTCAAACGTTCCAGGTAGCCTGATGGACTGAACTCCAACCGACGGTAGGGTTTTGTCTTAAACAAGAGGAGAGATAAGCCTTGTACACGTGGGGAAGAGTTTTGCACAATGCGAATTAACTACTTACTATTACTACTTACTTCAACAATCGTCAATTTGGTTCTGCAACACCTCGCTCTGCACCTCAAAAACAGATAAAACCATCTACAAATGCCTACTCTTCATCGAATATGAAGTACGGTCGTTTGGTTTCATTTTCTAATAGTGCTGGATGGGAATGTGGACGCGGCGTCTGACAGTGTCGGCGATTCGGTCTCTCATCTACAAGCGTACACAGATGTGATACAGCGTAACATAAAAATGTATTAACCGTTCAGTTGTAATACTTTTTTGGTGCCTGACTGTCAAACCAGGACTGATATACTGTCAGAACCCCCCGAGAGCCTAGACACGGGTATTCTTAGGTACTAGGGTTGGGTCCCTGCCAGGACCCATCAACGGCCACCTCAAGGTCGTGCTCCGGTGTTGAAAGATGAATTAACTCGTGTGTTTCTTCGGCGCAAAACATCAATATCGATCGCTGATTTTTGCAAACGCATCGATCTGCTTTATCAACTGTGCACCAATCGGGGGACACCTGATGCGAAGAATTGGTTTGACCCAGTTCGGAGACTATTTTCTTATGGGTCCACCAGAACATTCTTTGTGATATGAAATCATTCTGACTACAATTGTTTGCCTGTTCTACTTCAATGAACTCTATGAATGTTAATGGCACTAACGCAAAGGGTAACTAGGTTGTGGAACCCGCACAGTGCTTTCACTGAGAATACCATCAACCATCCTCGTATCGTGTGGGATTTATTCAGACCGTGTTCATGATCAACGGCAGTTTGAATTCGTCATCCTAGGCTCTCAAGAAGGGAATCTGAAATGTCTCACGTATTCTACTTCCTCCTTTTAGACCTGAGCGTATCAAAAACTGTTTGGAATTACAACGCAGTTTGTCGAGGGACAAAAGAACATAAGGTCGACGGAAACTCGGGGACTGCGCCTATCTGATGAGCCCGAAGTGGAAGGGCGAAACCGGTCATGGGCTGTCCAAGAGTTTTCAGCAACCTTGTGAGCAGCTTCCTTTATGAAAATAGCGAAAGGTTTGCCGCACGGTGTCTGTGTCAGCGTTTCTCAAGAGGGACAACTGTATGTTGTGGAAGGACTGTATACTAAATATGCGCAAGAATCGAGGCAACAGATGTGTTTTCTGCTACTGGTTTTTTTCCTATCTAATGTGTCAGGCACACCATCCAGTGAGCGGACCGCACGCTTTGATGGAACACAAGGTCCCTGGCACTAGGTCCCGCGACTTCTGTGGATTGGGGTACTCGAGTTCACTGACAGGCCGAACGATTCAAAGTCAATTCGTTCCAGCCAGATTTGTTCTCTTGTCAACTAACAAACATTTTATTTCATTCGCAATTTCCCCTTTTGTTAGCGTTGTTTTCCGGTTAGGCTTGGTAATGTGACCTTGCCACCAGTTGCATTCATTGAATGTGGAATGGAATGGAAGCTACTCAGTAAAAGTTGCGGTGCCTCATCACTAGCGATCTTTGTTTTCAGAGAGGGGAAACAGTTGAACGTCCCCCAGTTACGTTCACAGGATTGTCTTCAATGGGGAACGTTTTCGATACACCATACGTACGGCTGTTTGGTCTCTCCTGAGAATCACCGAACGTAGTTGTCTCTTCAAGTCTAGCGTCCCCAACTGAGGCGATCCGTGTTGCAGATACTACTGAATGACATTCTCTATCGATGAAATAGTTCACGCAGCTTTTTCAAACTGCTCTGGTCTCACGCATTCTTGAAATTTATAGAAAATAAATTGTCTGCGATATGGAAAGTTCGAGAACCAGTTCAGGGTGATTCCATCGGAGATCATCGGTCCTCACCAATGCTCATCATATATTTGGTTACCTATCAAATTGTCAGGTAATAACCACCTGATTACGCCTTGCCATGCAAGTTGAATACAGCTCTGGCTGACTTAGTTGACGGGCCGTTGTAAACACTTCCCATAGTTCTGTCGCACCTTGAACTTTTTATTTCTAACAAATAGGGCTTTTTCAGCTTGGTCTGTTCTTCGTCAGTTGATCACCATTTTCATCACCAGTCACAGTATGCCAGATACCCAAAGATCTGGTCCATGTTCGACTCGGGAATTTGGTTTCTAGGTCGCGCTGAGCGCTGCGAACCGCTTATAGAGGGAGTCAGAACTGACTACTGAATTCAGCAGTCCCCACCACTGAAGAAAATGGTTCCTTTTGGAAGATTAAATGTGGTAGAGAGAAGCTTGAACAAAAAAGTTCCAGTGCATGGAACTTGTACGTCTACGCCGTTATTTCTCCTAGATCGTATAATCGGGAAGCCAACCAGTCTACAACGCCTTGCATACAGTTAGTATTAGGAAGGTCAGCTTCCTGAAAGCAACCACTGAATGCCCGAAATCTACCGAGACTCTCAGCTCCGCCAGATGTTGACCAAACAGACAACACCGCCTCAGCATGCAGCGCGTCACAGCCTTGTATCAAACCCAGACAGCGCGAGTCAGCGTTGATCAAGGTCAGACAACGCCCCCGCAATATGCAGCACGTCACAGCCTCGTACCAAAGCCAGACCGTGTGCGTCAACATTGGACTGGGTTCAGACAGTGTCCCTCCAATAAATAGCTTGAGACCGTTGTACTTTTCGCACTCGCACGCACTCATGCTCTCGTACTCGCTTGTTCGGAATATAGCTGTTGTGTTCCCTTCTGTGAGTCTTTTCTCCGGCACTAGGCACCGGAGTGGGTCAGCAGCAGATACCACCGATTGGCGAATCAGCAGATATAACAGTTGGAATATCTGTATTGCACGGCCGAGTCGATACATGGAAGGAAGACCTGCGGCAAATTAGACACCTACGTGTTCTAAGTGACCAAATTCGTTGAAATGAAGGTCTCGCTGATCATTCAAGGAATGTGATATGCACGTTAAACACCCTTTTTTCTGGGTCATTAAGTCTTTATCACTTTCGGCTAACCCTTTCCAGGATCAGGTGATATTTCAGAAAGTAACGTGAGTAGTAGGGAAGAAGTCACTGGCGATGCTTGGATGACAACTATAGTTTCTATCGGGACTACTTGAGTGAACACAACTTCCAAGAAGGTCATCGGAACAACCATGGGGACACAGTTTAGTGAACATCACTCACGGTCAAATGTTCCCGGGGGGGTGACCCGGAGGGGTTGACTTACAGGCAGGCTGCGTAGCACTCGTTCCATAGTAACGCGTATATCGGTTTCGTTATTTTTATCGATCAGATAAGTGTACGGTTCTCCCATATAGTGCTCCATGTAAGGATTCTGACTAGACAGCTGCAGTGAGAAAGAGGAGAGGGGGAAGATAGGAAATGCTAAGGCAACAAGCCCTCTCTTGACTAGTTAACCGTTTGGTCTACCTGTTTTTTTTAACGCTTATAGGAATGCCCATAACAGGTCACATTTGTAAACACTCTCCTCTCGTTTAGATTAGACTTATTTCACTGTTTGATGCCAACTTCAACATTTTTTACCCAAAGTAATGATGCTGTGAACACAGACAGACCACTTTCATGACCGTCCTTCAACAGGCGTCGACTTTCGTCCGTATAATGAAACGTTCGTCAGATATCAATAGGTCATTCATTCTGCAAGTGTGACCCGCCGTAAATCGGAACACGGCGTTTTCCTTTGTGTCTTGTAGCATGCACAGTGCACTTCTGATGACCGTTCGGTTATTGGTTGAGTACTCCCCATCCAGCTGATCGACTTGGTGGCTAAGACAAGATACAAGAACACCACTCAGTTCACACCACGTGACCAGCCAATAATCGTCGAGTAGCACAGTGACCAAATACAGACCAGGCGGTCCAGCTGATCCGAGAGATAAGTTGGGCAGATATTGTTGGTGGTTCTGAACAAGGATGAAAATTGTATAGACCTATTACACTAAACATAAGGTTGCTGAAAACTCTTTAAAAGCCCACGACCAGTTTCGCCCTTCTTGGGGCTCAGCACGTAGCAGCGGCCCCCGAATTCCCGTCAACCTTATGTTCTACTTGAACCAAATTGTCCACAATCAGCGAACTACTCTCAATTGCATATCAGTTTGGGTTAGTGAGCTATTAAAGAGATTTAACAAACTATTGAGTAGTGTTAACGTTCAGCAATAACACCCTTTCGGTGCCTAGATGTCACGCCAGCCGAAGAAAGCATAAGGGCTGGGATAGGGCCAGGTTGCTCAAGCCTAGACAGGAGAAGCCTATATGCAGAGACTGGGTTCGAACCACGGACCTTCCAGTCACTAAATTCGCACTGTTGACGCTGAGCCATCTCGCCCCCGAATGGTATAGTGCGTCTCTGCAATGTATCGCGAATATCGTATCAACTGAAACATGAGGCGGCCTGGTGCAGCTCATTCAGTTCATAAACTAGAGATTTAGCTGGGTTCCAGGCAAGATTCTCGTCAAAACCAAACTGATATGCACACTGATATGGTTCCTTAGTCTGCTTCTTGGCTTATCAGTATAGACTGACCGCCTGAAAATTACTGGCCACCTATCAACCCTTGTGAAGTGCTGAGGCCATCAGAGAAAAGAACACATCTTACTGGTTTTTTTGAGAAAAATGATCTTACCTTCCGTGAGGTCGGTTTATCCGAGAAAAAATTGGTATTGTGCCTTCCATGTGGAACCGGGAATCGTACATTTAGAAATACCAAGCCATGTGCAACGGCCTCGAGTGGCGCTGGTCCTTCGTAGGGGAATCCAAGGCCAACCATAATCTTCAATGTTAGGAGAAACATTGTCTGAAAATTCCTTTCTGGTTGTATGAAAAAATCTGTTAGCTAACTGCGATTTACGTGCGCTTCACGGTGGTGTTTGAGATAACTTGGATTCGTTAAGCACAGATACGGAACCGAATGTGCCCAATATAGCAGTACATCGCAATACATACGGATACATTCTGATACTAGTGAAAGGATTCATACTACTGATAAACCGTGCGAGTAGACTATGGTTATTGGCCATGCTCCGCCTCGTATCTGATGGGAGGTGAAGTTTATTGCGGAAATTACGAGGCCAATTTGCAATGTTCGTTTAATAATGTGTAATACTCAATGAAGATCCAAGAAAGTTTAACAGGACCCTTGGAAATGTTCAGTTTTTAAGGACTATATGTATATGAGATGTTTACTTTCCTATCTAATGACTTGTATCTGCTTAGTTCGTCTTTGCTGATAAATGACTTGATCACGAAGGGCTTTCTTTTCACCAAAAGTACTGTAGGTATTTGCGAATTGCATTCTCTAAATTACGAAGGTGTTCCATCAATTCAACAAAAACAGGGTATTTCTGCCAACTTTTTGTAATCTGTACGTGTATCGACGATGGGGTCTCAAAGTCACATACATTTTCAACCAACGACTTTCACATGGTCCTACTGTGGGAAATAGGTTACTTTTCAGTAAGTCATAAAATGCGGGCGCTTGTCTAAGGAGGCGATACACCGATGTGCCCCAAGAGTCATGTTCAAGAATAGGCTAGCATATCTCAAGGAATCCCGAAAAAGTTCCAAAACTAATCGCAATCAACTCGTCTATTCAGTTTGGAGATATTTTGTGACCTGACTCCTAACTAATTTTAGCGGACATGCCAAATAATCTCTGAAATGTGTTATCCAGAATGATTCAGTCAACCGTCCTGATGTGAGCAATTCCGACCAATGAAATGTTAAGATTACGGATTGATGCCGACTTCGGAGGCCAATTTAACCTTGAGAACGGATCAATCACAGATCAAAAACAGGATCACACCACGGAGTTGGAAGCGGCGATAGCTGTGGTCGGCCAATATAATGAGGACTGTTTTCTAGGAGCGTCACGAATTAATGTACGAAAGGCTTAGAAGGCGGAACGATCCCCAACGTCTGCGGGAAAGCTTCACACAATCTGCTTACAACCCTCGGATCTCTCTGATTGTCGCCGAAGGCAACAAATAATGAAAATGCACTGGTGCAAAATGTCACCAAATAATTGAAGAGTCCCATGATGGGAATACTATCGAGTTTCATGTGGAAGTAAATACAGTGTTTGGAGGGCAATCCGGCAAATGCATCTAACCATCAGTATGGTACAGTCATTTCACCTTACCTTGAGAAAGAAGAGCGAAAAATGGTACCACTCAATACTCTGTTAAGGACAAAATTTCTGGTCATATGGACACGCACTATGTATCGAACAATTTGCTGGATTCCAGTGGATGTTCGTAGATGTGAGTGTCGGACTGGCCAAGCTTTTTTCTCGGAAAGCTTCCTCACCACAATTGCTCTGTAGGTAACCCGCCTACAGCAGCCGTTCTCCAGTAACTTCCAAGGACAGATGGTCACGTCATCCCACCTTGAAACTAGCTGCGAAGCTGTGTTTAAATCACATCTCGGTGTACTTGACTACTGGTGGACGGTCAGGATGTTTCTTCTCAACATGTCTCGATCCATGTGTAGATTTCAAATTGACCGAATTATTCAGTCCGGTTCACCTGTAAACCCAATATCCAGGGGATTTTGGTCCCTTCTGGTGCAGTTTTGGTCCCCGAAGCATTGATTTGGGTTATCCCGTGTTTGGGTTCCGATCGGAGACGCGCAAGTGGTTGATTCCTTAAACGAGACCCGTCAGGTGGACCCATGACCTTCTAGTTAAGGGTTCTTAGCAGATACGCCTTTGAATACCTGTATCTCAGCTAGGGTGCATAGCTGGTAAATTTGAATTCCGTGTGAAGTCTGGTCTAAAACGGCCTAGAAGAGGTGATCAAGGAGATACATGTTCGATCAAGACGCCCGTGCGGTTGAAGTTTTCAGCAAGGGATCGTATTCGAGCTAGTATTTCTGATTGAACCCACATATGGTGATCCCCTGTTCTCTGAAGATACACATCGCTAAAACGCCACACTCACAGCGCTCATCTACGTTGTTGAACTTATGAAGTCAACTTAATCTTACTTACCTTTGACCTTGATGTCAGGAAGGTCAGTTTCATGGAAATCGTCCCAAGATTTCGGAAACCTACTGAGACCCTCAATCTTCACCAAAATCGCCGTCAAGGATCCAGGCCAGAAAAACCAGCTTCCGATTGGACGCCTAAGCAGGCAATCAGTTCAATTACGGCCGATGATGATGAGTGTTCACCTAAAGCTGAAAGTCAGGATTCAAGGTAAAAGGTGCGCTTTGAATACCGTGGTGGTCCTTTTAATCTTTACACTCAATTGTTCGCATTGAAGCTGTTGTGTTTGTGTTCACCTAAAGCCGATCGGACAGTCAGGATTCAAGGTCAAAAGAGCGCTTTAAATACCGTGATGGTCCTCAATTGTTCGCATTGAAGCTGTTGTGTTCCTTATTGGCCAGATATTTTCCGGAACTAAGGCACAGGAGCGGGCCTAGCAGTTACTTACATCTCTTATGCCAGACCTTCGAATAACAACGCCACCCAAGGCGTCCGCATCGACCAAGTTAATTGACGATCAGCTGTAGAGCGGCTGTCCTGGAGATGGGTGACTCAAAGCCACGAATAAATTGTTTTTTCTTCTCTTACCCCAGAGTCCACCTATCACCGGTAGGACAAATACATCAATGATCAAGGGAGATGTGGTTGGATAAATAGGTTAGGAGGCACCCAAGCTGAACACACGGCATGAACCTTGTCAATGGACCGGTCAATGAACACTGATCTACTCCCCGACTCACCTGAGCTGAATCCAACAGTTTAAAGTAGGCTTCGCCCGGAGTAATATGATGGTTGTGTATAAACCCATAGATGCTATCCTGATCGATGTCTGCAATATTACTGTGTAACTCCACGTACTCGGCTAGTACGCGTAAGTAGACTTCAGTGTCCTAAAATGACCAAGCATTGAACATGTACGAACAAAGAGGAAATGAAGCCTGTGAATTATGTTTTGAGATTAGAACAGTCTCCAGGTGTTCGGATCCCACTGAGCACGGACTTTGTACCTTCCAGGACATAAAGACTTTAAGCCTGTTTCTGAGCAGGGCAAGTTTTTCGTGACTAAGCCGAGATCCATCAGAGATTGAATGCTACCGTAAATGATCTGTTTTTCATTAGTGTACAACCAAGATTAGTGAAACAACCTGTCTTTGATAACTTGAAGACTTCTGCATCTTAGAAAGAATAGTAGGAGTGCATGAGAATCCCGATGCTTGCTTGCTAGATGCGGGTTCAGGGGAGTAAACTCACAAATACTCAGGTGGAAGCTACATTAGCAAAATACGGACACCATATATTGGTGTTCTCGCACAATTTCTCCTTGCTACCCCATTGTGACGCGCGACCCTTCTATTGATCATAGACTGGTTGTTCCGATCAATAAGGTTTGTCAAGGTCGATCAGTGATTGGAAAAGTGAGAAAGTTAAAACCACAGTTGAAGAACATAACCCTGGACTCGACAAATACACTCATCTGGATATCAGTTCGGTTTCCATGAAAGAACCTGCTGAATCTGTTTGAAGATATTCTTCAACTGAATGTGCTGCATAAAGTCCACCTCATGTTTCACTTGGTACAATATCACAGTATGTTTTCATAAAGGAAACTACTCACAAGTTGCTGAAAACCCTTCGACAGCCCATGACCGGTTTCGCCCTTCTTGGGGCTCATCGGGTAGGCTCGGTCCTAGAGTTTCCGTCAACCTTTTGCTCTACTTGAGCCCGAATTAGGCTGACTTCGGCAAATACACTCATTTGCAAATCAATTTGGTTTTCACGAGGGACTCAACTCAAATCTCTCGTTTATGATATTCTTCAACTGAACATCATCTGTTCATTTTATCGTGACAGGCTAAGCCTGACCCGACAGAGAGACTGCCATTCAAATAGCCTTACTGAATGAAATGGCTGCAGTCTTATGCTTATCTCCCTTGTTTCACAGGCCACTTGGGTTTAAGACAACTAATTTTGAGAACAAGTGACCTTGGAACGCGATGAATATAAAATGGAGCTTTCAGTGAGTTCAGTTATGATGCCTATTTGTCTAGAACATGAAGGAATGGCTGAAACGCCTGGATATTCAAGTGAACGTTTCCGTGGATCAGTCTGTTCGCTAGGGTTTCGGGTGCGAGTTGAGAGGCAGCGGAAGGCCGTAAAAACTGCGTTTTGTAAGGCTCGACCAGTCAAGTCAAACTGAACAAAGCCGATAAGCAGTCAATGAAGAAGCAATCGATTCCAAGCCTATTGGTGAGGGTATTTCCGTCAGCCCTGTGTTCATCTTGAACCCAAATTGCATCGAATTAGCTAACTACACTCATTTGCACATTAATTTGATTTTTAAGGGAAGCTGTGCCATATCATTGGTGGATCTCCTGTTGGTTGTTCTCGCCATGAACCATTTTGATCCTCGCCGAAACAAATTGGGCAGAATATATTGTGTGATGCTTTCCAGGGAGGTCAGTACCAGCGTGAGAAAACACCTTGAACAAGGTCGCTGAAATTCCTCGATTTGAATTTGTCATTCTTACCTCCCACATGTATCTGAGTTTCCCACTGACCAAAGCAATAGGTTTCCGATGGTCCCGCGTGGTCCATTGTGCCTCTTGTCGTTTAGCCTTACCGGTTTCGACCACAAATCCGAGAAACGTGTTATCAGGTGTATGAGCTAAACAAAAATTGGGAAACGGATAAATAGATAGGTGCAAAGTTTGAAACGCTGTACTCAAACGTGAGTGAAAAGTCCGAGTGTGGAGCAAACGGAACTCAAACAAAGTGCAGCCCACCAAGCACGCGGCCTCAGTGAATGTTCTGCACAACCAAGTGTTTAGGAGACTCACGAAACATTGTATAGAACTGCAACAAGTTTAATTTTAACCCGCCCCAAGGAGAAATACGTCCACGATTGAACTGGGCTTCTGTACCGAATGAGTCTAGCAGGCGAAACTTGCAAGAACGAGGCAAGTTGGACTGCCAATTCCTGAGAGAAATATCGAAAGCGCTGGAAATGTTTTCTAACTCAACATTGTCTCACTCTGTGCAATCACACACTTGGACTCACCCTGCAGCTGCTTTCTTCATCTGACGATAACCGACGATGTCGGTGAACACCAGATCGAACGACCCAGTTGTCAAAATTCTGTGTGTATGAAAACATTGACGTGCTAGGTCAGTTTTTAAAGTATGATGACGAGAGAAGGTATAGACTATCGGCTGCATACTTGAAGCACCCTCAACAAGGAATGGGATGAAATTCCAATGGGAATTCCCGCTGACTTGATGGGCCGTACGGTGTGGAGTGGATAAAACAGCTGGTTGGGGTTGTACTTGTTGAACTTTTATTGGACATGAGTTGGTTATTCACCAACATGACTGCTGTGTGTCACCCGAGGCGCCGCACTGAGCTCCGGGATTCGTTGCCGTGATTAGCAAACGGAAGCGTTTCGCGAGCCCAGAGCGAGCGCGCCTGAGTTCCGTGCACACACACACACACACACACATCAGATGACTCGTCAGAACTGGCAGTCCGCAAAGAGGATATGATGAAAAGCAGAGTATGGCTTCAAATTCACTTACCGAAGTGCTTTACTCTCCTCCATACTCATAGTAATATTATGACCAAGAATGTAAAGTCCGGCAAGCAGATCAGTCCATTGAATCAGCTCTCCCAAAGCGCCGCCTAGAGGAGATTAGAGGGCAACGTTTGGCTCACCGACGACAGCAGCTCACCCTCACAAGAGATTGAACGAAGACTTCTCTCTAACATTGTTTCAAATGAGTTTAGGACCGAGTTGGTTGTCACCGATTCGAACAGCATTGGTAAACAGTTAGTTATGACAGATGCCGCCAAACTGATTATCGATTTGCCCCAGTATGTCACCGCACTTTGAATTGATTTGAAACACTTCAACTGATAGTTCCTCTCCGATGCAGTCAAAATTTTCGATTTAGTAGACCCTAACATGTTTTTCTAAACGGGATTAGATTAGGCGGATTCTGGTCGGCTAAGTTTATTTACTTCTTACTTAGTTTATTGTACTTTTATTCCGACTATCTTCTGCATGAGGATGAACAGACTTCCTGAATGTCTCGAATCGTAGCCGGCAGAGTGTGTCAGTCAGCGGCTAATCTCCCGCAGATATTGATCTGTATTGTTCGTTCCAGTGGCGTGAGTGTTGGGCGGTCGGTAGACACGGTCATAGCAGTGTTGACCCATTTTTTCAGTCAAACACCTGGACGACCAATCTCAACAACTATGTTTGAAAATGAAAACAAAGAACTGCCTCATGTCAACACCTGTTTTGTCCACACTGGAATGGTGGTGACGTTCATTCCTTCGGCCGCGTAAATAGTAGGCCCTATCACCAAAATTTCCAGCTTGTCTAAATCCATCTTGTGTCACGTGTTTAGAGTACGCCTAGTCACAACCGTCTTTGATTGGTCCTTGATTTTATTTGGCAGTTCTTGACAATC